GCAAGGTCATAGCAACTAAATAGCTTGTCCACATTCTATGGTATTTGCAAAGCAAGTTGATTACAATATGATACTCCCCGGAGGTAGGCTGCTATGGCCCACCATCTATAAAACAGAGAAGTAAATCTAAAATGTAATATGAGGGGAGGCTGGGGCAGTAGCCCAACAGGCTAATCCTCTACCTGCAAGTGCTGGATCATGTCTCAGCTGCCCCACTTCCCATCCAGCTCCCTGCTTGTGGCCTGGGAAGGCAGTTGAGGATGGCCCAAAGCCTTGAGAGCTTGCACCGGCGTGGGAGACCCAGAAGGGGCTCCTGGCTCTTGGCTTCGGAACAGTGCAGTTGAGTGAACCAGTGGATGGAAAATCTTGTCTTTCCTTCTCTCTGTGAATCTGCTTTTTAAATTTTAAAGAAAATCTGAAATCCAACAGTTCTTGCATAATTGTAGAATCCCAAATACTGCCCCAACACCTAGCAGCCAATCACTGGCACTTGATGGTGAAGGGAAGCAGGGCATTCACACAGGCAAAGCACCAGGCAGTTGAGGCATCATTTAATATCTGAAAGGTTAAGGTAAGAGATCTTACACAGTCAACTTTTGTTTGGAAGCTATGTGTTCATCCCAGTGCAAGTCCATGATTGGTCAACAGTGCTCCTGGCCCTCTAACTGGCTGATGATAGGCTGTTAACATCCTTTTGTGAATTTTGATGATGTCAAAGTGGGCTCAGGTCACTGGAGGCTTTGTGCAAGTGGTTGTTTTTTGTTCCAGGCTGGGTTCCAGTCTGGAGTTCCAATCTTAAGACAGTACCAAACAGGAGGATGTTCTCTGGAGAGGAGCTAAATGATCCCAGTCGGGCAGCGGGGACTAGTAGAATCAGCTGAAACCATGCACCACTGCCTTGGGGGAGTGAGTTGATTTTAATGAGGTTAATGTGACATTGTGGAAGCAGCTCAACAAGAAGACCCGGGAGACTAGAGTGTGATAGTATCTAGTACTGACCTCAAACACAGTATTTAGGGGTTCAGATTCATAATTACATTGCAGTCTATTTCATATCTTTATCATCCAACAGCCTCCAGAGCAGTCCCCAGTTTTCTTCAGTAATATTAGCAATGTGCTTGGTTGCCTGGCTCCCCTCCTTCCCCACTGATGCCTTGCTGGGGGCTGCCAGTGCCTTGGCCTTTCCTGATAGCCTTGACCTTGAACTTCAGTGCCAATGAACACTTCCATTTTCATTTCATTTTGCTTCAGCCATGTATGTCAATGGCCATAGCTTGAGCCTGAATGTTAGCAACATCTTTGACTCGCAACTTCTCATAGGGCTCGGTGCTGTGGTATAGCAGATTAAACCAACACCGACATCCCCACATGGGCACCAGTTTGTGTCCTGGCTGCTCCACTTCTGATCTAGCAACAGAAAGAGGGTCCAAGTACTTGGATTCCTGTGCCCTACAAGGGAGTTCCAGAAGAAGTTGCAGTCTCCCGGCTTTGGCCTGTTCCAACCCTAGTTATTAGGACCATTTGGTGATTGAACCAGTGGATGGAAGATTCTCTGTCTCCTCACCTCTTTTTCAAATAAGTTTTTTTTTTTTAATCTGAAACTTCAAAAGTGATTTGCTGTTTCCTAGCACTTCATTTAGACAAATCCTTAACCTTCACATACAAGTTAGGAACTTTTTACTTTAAAATGTTCCAACATGGCCTGAAGTGATAGCTTAGTGCCTAAATCTTTGCCTTGCACCTGCCCGGTTCCCATGTGGGTGCTGATTTGTGTCCTGGCAGCTCCACTTCCCATCCAGCTCCCTGCTTGTGGCCTAGGAAAGCAGTCGAGGACGGCCCAAAGCCTTAGGACCCTGCACTCACGTGGGAGACCTGGAGGAAGCTCCTGGCTTCTGGTTCCTTTTTTTTTTTTATGGTTTATTTTTTATTTCCATTGGAAAGGCAGATATACAGAGTGGAGGAGAGACAGAAAAAAAGATCTTCTGTCTTCCTTCCCCAAATATCCACAATGGCCATAGCTGTACTGATCCAAAGTCAGGACCCACACTCTTCTGGGTCTCCTTCACAGATGCAGGGTTACCCCAAGGTTTTGGGCCATCCTCAACTGCTTTCCCAGGCCACAAGTAGAGAGCTAGTTGGAAAGTGGGTCTGCCGGGATTAGAACCAGTGTTGATATGGGATCCTGGCAATTGCAATGCGAGGATTTTAGCCACTAGGCTACCATGCCAAGCCCAGCTTCTGATTTCTAATTGGCTCAGCTGTGGCCAGTGCAGCCTCTTGGGGTGTGAACCAGCAGACAGAAAATCTTTGTCTCTGTATCTCCTTTTCTCTGTATATCTGTCTTTCCAATAAATAAATAAATTTTTTAAAAACTTTAAAAATTTTACATCAAGACTCTCCCAAACTAACTCATTTAAAGCACATTACGTGTGTTCAACAACATTCAGTGACTCCCATTGCCAGTTCAAACAGCCTTTTTGAATGTCTCAATGTTCTGTTCCAGATTACATGCATTTTTTTTAATCCAAAGTGGCCATCTTAGATGGAAAACCAAAATGGCAGCAGTAGTGTTCTCAGTTCACCCCCCTCCTAAGTACCCTACATTCCAGAAATACTGACATGCAGCCATCTCAGAGGTTGTTAAAATGGAATTCAGAGGTCCCTAGAAGCATGAGACACTTTGAAGGTTGGTCCATAGAATAACTTTTCATAATAATATTAATATTATTTCCCTTTTTACTTTCATTATCTCATAATAATGCTATAGAGTTTTACCAGAAGCTACCTGATATAGCATAAGAAATTGAATACTGAAGCAAATTTTAAGATCCAATTTATTTTGCTAGATCTTAAAAAAGCGATCTACAGGGGGAAAAAAAAAAGTAAAAATAATACTGCTTTTCTATTTTGAGGGGAATAACTAATTTAATTAAAAATGTTAACATGTTTTTCTTTAACTAATTTGAAAGACAGAGCTAGAGGGAATCTTCTATCTGTTGGTTCATGCCCCAAATGCCACAACAATCAATGCTGGGCCAAGCCAATGCGAGGAGTCAGGAGTTCCAGTTGAGTTTCCTGCATGGGTGACAGGAATCTTGTTGTCTCTAGGATACATTATGGAAAGCTGGACAGGGAGCAGAGTAATTAGGACTTAGAACAGGCCATCAGATATAGATGTAGACATTCCAAAACAGTGGCTACCCCTATGCAGTATATATTTAAATTTGTGTGGTAGACAGAATAATGGCCCCGAATATGTTCATTTCTTCTAGTCTCTAGAACCTGTATATATGTTATTTACCATGACAAAATGGGTTGTGTAGATACAATGCAGAAAGGATTTTGAGATGGGACTACCCTGACCCTAACCTTAGCTGATGTTGCTCTCTGAGGAGTAAAACAGCAAACTCACTAGCTTTTTCCTTCCACACTCTATCACTCTTTCAAATGAATCCTAATTTTAAAAAAATTTTAAAGATTTATTATTGCAAAGTCAGATATACAGAGAGAAGGAGAGACAGAGAAGAAGATCTTCCTTCCACTTATTCACTCCTCAAGTGGCCGCAATAGCCAGAGCTCATCTGATCTGAAGCCAGGAGCCTAGAGCCTCTTGCAGGTCTCCTGCACAGGTGCAGGGTCCTAAGGCTTTGGGCCATCCTCAACTGCTTTCCCACAAGCAGGGAGCTGGATAGGAAGCAGAGCAGCTGGGATTAGAACTGGTGCCCATATGGGATCCTAGCATATTCAAGGTAGGGACTTGAAAAGAGAAAAAACAGGGTAGCCAGGACTCAAACCTGCACTTGGATGTGAGTGCAGGTGTCCCAGGTGGTTCTGGGTCCTTCACCCTCTGGTTCACAATGCCTACCCTACAGAGAAGGGATTTTTATTTTAGTGTTTACAGAATTTAACAAGAAATTCATTTTCCACTTAAACACTGAAATTCAGTTGTTTATAAAGTTCAAAATTAGATTGCAGTGGACAACTTTTATTTACTAAACTTTTAACCATATTCCATGTGGTTTACCATCAAAGAAGTCCCTGAATATTTTTCTATGCATCTTAAATAAAAATAGGATCAGCTACTATGTTATCATCTATGGACTATTTAACTGGTTATCATCTATTGTTTTTTAAATGAAGTTATTTTTAAGGCTGAAAACATAAATGGTAACAATGATGTATATCAAAGTTAATATTAAATACATAAGATGACATGACTCCAAATGCAGATTTGTATCACCCTTAAATATTATAAAATTTTCTCAGTAGAGCATGTGGGTTGGAACATACAGAATATATAGACTAAACAGATTAGTTAGAACTCTAGCTCGAAAATGTATGACAATTTTAAGTCAAGCAACTGATACAAAATACCATTGTACTGGAAATGTGGAAATGTGGTTGTCATTGTAGAAAAGACATTTCCTTCTTAATAGTTTAACAGCAAATACCATGATCTTCTGCCTCTAAATTCCATTACATCTGATGAACAAAGTACTCACATGTCTCCTAAGATAATTCAACACCAAATTTTAAAAATATATCTGAGTTACAGAGAGAGAGGGGATGAAAAAGAAAGAGGTCTTCTATCTGCTGGTTCACTCCCCAAGAGGCCCCAGTGGCCAGGGCTGAGCTAGGCTGAAGCAAGAAACCAGGAGTTTTGCCCAGGTCTCATGTGTGGGTGACAAGGGTCCCAGCACTTAGGCTGTCTCAAGCTGCTTTTCCCAGGCCATTGATATACAGCTGGATGGGAAGTGGTCCTGCGCCCAAATGGGATATGTCACTGTGGTGGTTTTGCCCACTACACCACATACTGGGCTCTCAAGAGCGCCAAGTTTAAAAACAAATATTGTAAATACATTAAAACAAAACAAGAAAATCTGCTTTAACAAATTATACTCAAGCAAAGGAAAGTTCTATTCTTCTTAACAAGTAGATGGTCAAAATTCCCAATTGTAGAACAACTTCAGAAAACTTGGAATATAAAACATTGACTTCAATTAGATATCATCAATGTCTTCGTCATTATCTCCAATATCATCAAACTGGATTTCATCGTCATCTCCAGGACCAAACGTATCCGTTTCATTGATTTTGGCATGTTCTGGAAGCTCACCATATGCTTTCAGACTTCTGGCTTCATCCGCATTGTACTTCAAAATTACATCTGCTTTATTATCCTGATAGTCTCGCAGACCCACCAGTACAATGTCTGAAGTGTTTATCCAAACCTTTTTTCTCAATTTCCCTCTAATATGGCAGAGCCGCTTGACACCATCAAAGCACATGGCTTCCAAACGTCCGTTGCCCAGCATTTTGATAACTTGAGCATATTCCTGTCCGTCTTCCTTAAATACCAGCTCTCTTTTTTCAGATTCATTCTCGTTCTTACCCCTGCGCCTGTTTTTACCTCCTTTACCTTTATTCTTAGGCATGGCAGCGAGAGAAGTTTCGCGAAGCTTCTTTTTTTTCCCCCTAGTGGTAGTTGCCAACCGCCTCCCGGAGGTTTATTCTAGAAACGGTTGACCGAACCCGGCGGCCCAATCGCAACGGCCCCCGAGGCCGCAGCTGCACCCGAGGGTGGCGTGTGCCATCGCTGGTTGTCAGGAGTAAAAGAACGGGGAGAGCTGACAAACCCGTGTGCTAAACACACACAAGATGTGCGTATGTAATACCTTAGATATTATTACTTTACGCAGTTTTCTTTTAAAAAATTTTTTTTTCTTGCACTATATAACCTTTTCTCATTCATTTATTCCAGCATCTTCCAGCGTTGGACACTAACTACTATTTCTCGGATTTAATAAACAGAGCAAAAAAAAAGTCTCCGAACTATTTTAAATGGATTTTTCAATCATGTGCTAATAAAACAATATTCGAGTCTATGTGGTCGGCGATATTTGACAGACAGCCGTTTGGTGGCGACCAAGGAATCTGGTCTGTCAGCTTGTGGGCGTTCCCGTCTCCGACTCCGCCCGGATCGCTGTTCTGTCGTGTTCTTTCTCCGCCCCCTGCGGCCACCGTAGGCGAGTGTGGCAAGATGGCGGCCGTGGCGCTCGCCGGGGCCGTGAGAGCTGCGGCAGGTGAGTGGGCAACGGCGAGGTGCTTCCACAGACCTGGGACGAGGGCTTGGACCGCGGGGAAGCAGCAGGACTGGCAGCCAGGGGGCTACCCTGGACTTCCTGGAGGGCGGCGTGGCCGGCAGCCACGCTCCGTTCCGCATTCTTCGCCTTGTCTCGCAGAAGACCGACGGGAGGGACGGAGGCGGAGGGAGGCAGGGCCGACGCCAAGGGCCCCGGCTAACGTCCCGACCCAGAGGCTGGGACCCGCCGCCCAGGCCTTCCGACCTGGAGAGCTGCGCTTTCTTTGCACTTGGGCTGCCAGTGCCGCCTGCCAGGGCGATTGATTGGCTGTGTCTGTAGTCGGCGGTGGTCGGCCGGGGGGTTCTGTCAGGGATAACTCCCTTGTAATTGCAGCGTCCCGTGCAAGGGTGGGTCTGAGGAGAGCCTGGTGGAGGGGCACAGGAGCCTTCCCCGCCCAGGTTGAAAAAAAAAAAATCACTCATGGATGATTGCGTTTCTTTCATGAAAATACATTACATTTGGATAAAAATCAGCGGGACAACAGAAACAGCAAGACTAAGCAAAAAGTAAAGATGCAACTTAGAGAAAAGCCTTCTTATGGGTATTGAGATTGTGTGTGCACAAAATAGAGGGGAGCTAAGTGTTAGACGATGCCACAGCAGACTGGGACTCCCCCGAGGCCCAAGCCACTGCCAGAAGCTCCTGCATACACACATCCCAGGTCAAAACTGCACACTTTTAGAAACACAATTCCAATTTTTACAAGTAGTCTCTTGCCTGTTGGTAAGGTTTTAGCATCTACACATGCATCTCTCAATAACATAGTGTGCTTTTGAATCTCCCATGAACAGAATCTTGCAGTGCATCCTCTTTAGCTGTGGCATGAAACCATTTTTCTGTCTAAGGCCATTTGGATATTGAGGACATCATTCCTTGGCCTCTACAAAATGATCCATCCTAAACATTAACCTGCCGTAGATTTGCTGAGTGTTGAGTCTCCATGGCGATTGCCGGCACAAGGCCAGACAGAACAATTTTGTAGGCCTTATCCAGTCTGTGAGCTAGCCATTCCCCTGCCTGCTTCAGTGTCTCTGTGAGAGCCATTCAGCTTGCCCTTAGCCGTCATGCTTTGTCGCGGCCAGCAGTATTCTGTGTTGCACACATCTCTCTCCTACTGTTGATGGGCGCTGGTTTCCATGTGGGGCCAGTTAAGGTACAATGCTGATGAATCTTGTGTCCTGTGTGTCTCTACATGTGCATTAACTAGCTGTGGAATAACTGGATCCGATTATGTAGCTATATAATTTTGCCCAGCACTACCAAACCAAAGTGATGTGCTTATTTTGGGTTACCCGAGTTGTGGGAAGAGCACAAATTCACCAAGGCTTGGCGTTGTAATAAGTGTCTGGCCATCTGGTGGCTGTGTAAGTGCTGTGTCACTGAAGGTTAAATAGACCTTCCTCTAATGATTGAGCCTTAGTGTGTTTCCACATGTGTGTTAGCTTTTGGAATTCAGTTTATGAAATGCCCACTTAAACATTTTACTCATTTATTTAAGTATCTTGTTGTTTTATAGTCTTTTTCTTCCTTTGCCTTCCTTCCTTCTCTTCCTTCATTCTCTTTTTCTTCCTTCTTTTCTCTCTTTCTCTTTTGAAAGGCAGAGAAAGAGGAGGGCAGATCTGCTACCTGCCTATTCACTCCACACATGGCCACAACATTTAGACTTGGGCCAAGCCAGGGCCAGGAGCCTGGAACTCCATGTAGATCTCCCATGCGGGTAACAGGGGCCCAGGCACTTGAGCATCCAATGCTGCCTCCCAGAGGTGCTCATTAGCAGGAAGCTGGAGGAGAACTGGAGTAGCTGGGACTGAAACTAGCATTTGGGCATGGGATGCAGGCTTCCTAAGTAGAAACATAGTACTGGTCCCAAAGATGAACTTACGTGCCATAAAATCAATCATTTTATGTGTTCAATTTTACATGGAACTTTTCAGCATGGTTATGCTTGCTCTCCACACTGGTTAGACTCAGAATTGACCAATGGAGTCAGAGCTCCATCAGGGATTCTCACTTGCAGGCAAGAACAGTTTAGTCTGACTAGCACGGGAAGGATTGGGGGCCAACCCCATGTGTTCAGGGTCACTCCCAAACAAACACGAACAAGAGGCCAATGTGTAACCCAGACAAACTGGGGACTTAACTTCAGTACAAAGGGGACAGCGGTGTGTGAAGCGGTTCCCCCACTGGTTCTCTGATGAAGCTAGACAGGTGTTTTTATCAGGTTGGGGAGGCATGTGGCTTCCCCCTCAGCCAGGTCACTTCTCTTCGCACTTAGCTCAGGGTCCTGTGCAGGCACTGTTTGTCTAGTGTTTGTTGCACCTGACACACTCAAAACAGTAAAGCGGCTTCCTGCCACAGGAAGGTCTCATCCTGGTCTCACTGGGTTATTCCGGAACATGTGGATTGGGCAGCTCCCTAACAGGGCAGTAGGGGACCTACAGGTTCCTGTCTCCCAAGTGGTTTGGAACAGGAGGTGGATACATAGGTCATTTAGTGATTCAGTAAGCCTGTTTTCTGTCTGTTTTTATATTGCTAGGGCACAGCAGCCATTCATCCCTGCTCCTGGCAATCCACCTTCTACACAGAGCGCCTGTTCCATTGCTTTTCCCCAGGCGTCTCTGCTACAGGCAGACAGGCAGTGAGCAGCTCCTGTGGTGGGTTTGGTCCCCAGCCAGCAGCGGTCAGGCCTTACCTGTACTCTTCATCCTGCCTGAAATGTGCTCCTCCTCATTGAAGGTCCTCTTCATTTGCTGGAGGAGAACCCAAGTGCCTCTTCTCTTCTCTTCCTGAATCCTCCCTTACCACTGTGCTGTCCTTCCAGGAAGGACCCAGGCTCTTGTGTCTCCTGCACGATGCTGCACTGCCTGGGGGCACTCAGTCTCCCTAATGTAAGATAAGGGGTTAGTGTTACCTGTATCTTGTCCCCTCCTACTGGGATAGGATACATCACCCTGGATCATGATGATGGCTGGACAATTCTCAATTTTCTGAAAAAAATCATGGAACTGTACATATAAATTAGGTGATTTTATGGTGTTTAAAAAAACACTTCAGGGCCTGGCGCAGTAGCCTTGCAGCTAAAGTCCTCACCTTGCAACTGCCAGGATCCCATATGGGCGCAGGTTCATCTCCTGGCTGCTCCATTTCCCATCCAGTTCCCTGCTTGTGGCCTGGGAAAGCAGTCGAGGATGGCCCAAAATCATGGGGAGACCCTGCATCTGTGAAGGAGACCCAGAAGAGGCTCTGGATTCCTGGCTTCAGATCAGCTCAGTTCTGGCCACTGCAGCTACGTGGGGAGTGAATTAACGGATGGAAGATCTTCCTCTCTGTCTCTCCTCTCTGTATATTCGACTTCCCAATTAAAAAAAAAAATCTTAAAAAAAAACCCCAGAACATTCTGAGCCCCGAATATTGGCCTAGTGGCTATGAGCCTGGATCCCATGTGGGCTCCAGTTCGTATCCCAGCTTTTCCACTTCCCATCCAGCTCCCTGCTTGTGCCTTGGGAAAGCACTCCCATGTAGGAAAAACCTGGAAGAAGCTCCTAGCTTCAGATTGGCTCAGCTCCAGCCATTGCAGCCATGTGGGGAGTGAATCAGGGATGGAAGATCTTTGTCTCTCCTTCTCTCTATAAATCTGACTTTCCAATAAAATGAAATAATAATAAAAGTTTCCTAAGGCCACTTAAATTTAGTAGTGCTTATTTGAGCAAAATGAAACAATGTGTAAATAGGGCAATCCCCAGAACCAGAACAGGATCTAAGAACTCCATCAATGTGGTCTGACAGCATTAGGGAAAAACAGAAGTGAGTCAAAGAAAACAACTTCATGGACTACATTTAGCCAGTCCGTTGGTTTCAGCTTCAGTACTGATTACCGGATCTTCTGTCAACCAGCCAAACTTTTATTACCATAATGAAGCTGTATGTTGGTTTGGTGTGGTGGGCTCAGTGCCAGGTACCCAGTGCAGACCCATGACTTCCTGTACATTTATTTAATAGGGTATGGAAGTTATAGCTCCATTAATTTGGTTAAACAAAACAAAACACCTCCCTGGATGAGTCCCATGTTGAGGGTATGTTTTCTGTAATGTTTGGTTGCTCTGTTGCGTAATTTCAAATATCTGGATGTGTATTTTAGAGTAGCAGAATATATACTTGCTTCTGTCTTTACAGGAATCTTACGGCCCCTGACTATTTTGGCATCTCCAGCCTGTCGAAGCAGCACCAGGAATACCTGTGCTATTTCCATACTGTCCGCCAGGCATTTCAGTCATATTCAGACACCAATTGTTTCTTCTCCTCCCAGACCTGTCACATCGGTCACAAACCTTACTTGTGGACTTTCTACAACCATACTTCACAGGTAGGGTTTGTTTGAATAAACATGGTACTCAGCCAACATTTCTAAAGCATTCATACTGCAAGCATCTTAGAAGTAGGTGATATCCTGTACTCTGTACTCTTCTCCATGGCTTAATTATATTGACTTTGCTTGACAAAATGGGAGAGTAATTGTCAGGCAAAGCACAATTTTGATACAGTCTGTGTGGCTTCTTGGATGGCAAGCTTACAAGCTTACAGCTATGTTAGGTGCTTACTCTGTTAGCAAGTGCTCAGGCACCACTGGGTACCCAGCATGGCGTCACAAGAGTTTAGAAGCTAGTGGGCAGTTGGGTAAATCATCAGGTGATCAAACTGTGATGGAATACATTGTTTTCACAGAGGGGTGGATTTAAAAAGTTGGTAACAGTTGCTATTCTTTTTTTTTTTTAAGATTTATTTTTATTACAAAGTCAGATATACAGAGAGGAGAAGAGACAGAGAGGAAGATCTTCTGTCCAATGGTTCACTTCCCAAGTGACTGCAACAGCCTGTGCTGCGCCGATCCGTAGCCAGGAGCCAGGAACCTCCTCCAGGTCTCCCACATGGGTGCAGGATCCCAAAGCATTGGGCCATCCTCGACTGCTTTCCCAGGCCACAAGCAGGGAGCTAGATGGGAAGTGGAGCTGCCAGGATTAGAACTGGAGCCCGTATGGGATTCTGGGCATGTTCAAGGTGAGGACTTTAGCCATTAGGCCACAGTGCTGAGCCCAACAGTTGCTATTCTTATTTATGCTTAATGTCATGGGTCATTTGAAGTAAGTAAAATTCAGCTCCAAGAACCAATGTTTTGGTGCAATAACAGTAGCATGCCATATGGGAATGCTGATTCAAGTCCTAGCTGTTCGATTTCCAATCCAGCTTCCTACTGATGTACCTGGGAAAGCAACAAAAGATGGCCCAAGTACCCAAGTCCCCGCTATACATGTGGGAGACCAGGATGTAGTTACTGCTTCTGGCTTTGACCTGGTTCAGCCCTGGTTGTTCTGAGCATTTGCAGAGTGGACAGTGGATGCAAAATGTCATTCTGTCAATCAGTCTGCCTTTCAGATGAACAGATAAAGATTTATCTGGGCTGTTGCTGTGGTGTAGTGAGTAAAGCTGCCACCTACAGCGCTAGCATCCCATATGGACACCAGTTCAGGTTCTGGCTGCTTTATATCCCATCCAGTTCCCTGCTAATGTTCCTGGGAAAGCAGTGGAAGATGACCCAAGTGCTTGCATACCGTCACTCACACAGGAGCTCAGGAAGAAGCTTGTGGCTGCTGGCTTTGTCCGTCTGTTAATGCCATTTGAGGAGTTAACCAGCAGGTGGAAGATTTTTTTTTTGGTCACTTTGCCTTTCAAATAAATACATCTTTAGGAAAAAAAATTTTTTTTTGAAAGAGTGACAGAGAGAAGGTGAGAGAACTTGCATCCCCTAGACTACCCTCCCCCAACATGAGAACAACCAGTGCTGGGCTGGGTCAAAGCCAGGAGCCAGGAGATTCATCCATTTGAGTGGCAGGAACCCAAATACTTGGGTCATCTGCTGCTGTTTTTCTCAGGCCATTAACAGAGAGCTAGATCAGAAGTGAACCAGCCAGGAAATGAATCAGTTCCCATATGGGATGCTGGAGGCAACAGTTAAATCTTTTTAAAAAAATTCAGCTCCTTTCTAGTGAAAACCTTCATTTTTTTTTTTTTATTGCTGTTTTAAGATTTATTTGAAAGGCAGAATAATAGAAAACTCTGTCTGTTGGTTTCTTCCACAAGTGCCCATGACAGCTAGAACCAGGGCAGGCCAAAGCCAGGAACCTCCATCGGGGTCTCCTGCATGGTGGCAGGAACTCAAACCCTTGGACCATCATCTGCTATCTCCCAGGTGCGTTAGCAGGGAACTGCATTGGAAGCACAGACTTGAACCAGGCACTCTATATGGGAGGTGGGCTACCCCAGCAGTGACTTAACCTGCTGCACTCCAGTACCCACCCTCATTTCCGGTGTAGAAACAGATTTTAGCATTTCATCAGTCTGACTGCTGAGTTGCACTTTTAAAAATGTTTTCTAGAGTGACTCCCTTGCTTCGCAATGTCCTGGAGCTGCCGGCCAGAACAGTCACATACTGCAGCACACAGAAAGGCAAGAGGAAGACGGTGAAAGCCGTCATCTACAGGTTTCTCAGGCTCCATTCTGGCCTGTGGTTAAGGAGAAAGGTGAGTCCTCACACCGCTTTAGAGGAAAAGGACGGTGAGCCGGACATGAGCACGAAGGGCAGGGAGCCTGTTCACGGACTGGTCTTTTTGCAAGTGGATTTTATAGTGTTTTGCCTAAGCACCAGCTTGACAGGCATCTCCATGTCAGTGAAACGTTCTGAAAGCAAATGGAACATTCCCGATGGCCCCCGTCTGCAGTGTGGGACAGATGCACCGCTGGTGTGCCCACGTGGCACACCCTAGTGTGTGTGGGCTTGCCTAGTGATTACCTGAAGTCCTCTGAAACCCTGGCCACTTAATGCCCTGTTGGGTCCTCTGTTGGAGCCTGGTGTTCAAATAGCACAGCAGACTTTGTGTGGATTAGATTGGGACTCTGAGAAACCTTTCAGCTACCTTGGCTTGGCTTCTCTCTGCAGCTTAGTCTTCATGGCAGAACACGAAGCCCACACGCATCTCCCCCTTTCCCTCCACTTTACAAGTTTTCCTCTCTGTTGGCACTTGAGACTGGCATCACCAGTATCTGGGTACTCCAACCTCCCTGGGAGACTTGGAAAATTACTGCTCTTTCCTGTGCTTGACATGTCTTGAGCCTGACTGGACTGTTTCATTCACATCTTTATTCAAGGAATGAATAAGCCGATAATTAGAAAGCCAGCTTACTGTCACAGTTTCCCAAACCCATGCTTAAGTTTTACCAGCTCTTCAAATCCTGATTTCCTCGTATTACCCAGAGGCTTATTTAATCCTTTAAACATCAAAATTTGATACCTTTTAAAGATGTAATAGCTGGCAGAAATTTCTCAGTATCTGAAAGACTGAAAGGCTTATCCTTTAGATTATTAACCATAATTGGAACTCTTGACATATTCCACTGAAGAAACACTGAATTATTAATTATTATTAATCTGAGAGATCTCTCACCTACGAATCTACTCCCCAAGAACCAGGGACTTAATCTGGGTCTCTGGGTTGTATATACCCAACTGTGAGCCGTCAGATGCTGTGTTCCAGGATGGGCATCAGCAGGAAGCTGCTGTCATGGCACAGCGGGGACTGAACCCCAGGCACTGCAGTGGAGGATGCCTGTGTCCCAGGCAGAGTCTGCTATGGGCCAGTGTCTGCCTGCCCCAGTTCTTCCACCTTAGTCTTCTGCACTAGTCAGAGAAGTGCATGTATCCCCTAAGTAGCTCAGGTTCTAATTCTTGTGAATTTGACCTCTGGAAATATTTCCTACCATTTGTTAACACACTAGTAACTCCCATGTCCTCATCAGGTCCCGGGAAAGAGGAGATGGGTGATTTGCTTTGCCCTGCTCCCAGTGTCCCTGTTGTTAGGCTCTGGAGCTCTCACGTTACTATAAATAATCTGATCGTACTTTCTAGTTGTAATATCTAGCACCAGCTTGGGGCCCCAAAGAGTACATTATGTGCAGAAAGGCTGTGCTCAAAATCTAATTTTATGAGGAAAGTAGTACACATCAAAAATTAAGGGAAAAAAAAAAAAACACCAAAGTGGAACTGGTCTTCTTGATAGCACTGGCATCCCATATGGGCACCAGTTCATGTCCCAGTCCCAGCTGCTTCCTTTTTTTTTAAAGAATTATTTTTATGTTTTTGGAAAGGCAGATATACAGAGAGGAAGATCTTCTGTTTGATGGTTCACTCTTCAAGCGGCCACAATGGCCAGAGCTGAGCCAGGAGACTCTTCCAGGTCTTCCACATGGGTGCAGAGTCCCAAGGCCTTGGGCTGTCTTCAACTGCTTTCCCAGGCCACAAGCAGGGAGCTGGATGGGAAGTGAATCATTGGGGACATAAACCAGCGCCCATATGGTATCCTGGTGTGTGGTGTGTGCAAGGTGAGAACTTTAGCCACTAGGCTACCACACCAGGCCTTGTAAAATACACCTTTCAAATCAAAATTGAAAAAAAATTAAAGAAGGAAAACAAAAAGATTGAGTAACCTTCACTAATGTAGGGAACTGGAAATACTTTCTCTGGCAGTTTCAACTTCTTATCATCTTATCATTTTGTTATCATCAGCTCATAGATTTATTTAGCTCTGTTTTCTGATATTAATCTAAATATTTTTCCAAAATATTATGATTTCCTTTTCAAATTACTCATGCTTTTTCTTACTTACCCCTCCCTGAGAATCTTTCTGAAAAAATAGTAGCTTTTGTTCCTGAACAGCTATAGACCACAAACTTGCACTTATCTATTGTTTTCCTACTTAAGATTTTTGATGCCTGTGTTGTATTTTCCAACAGGCTGGTTATAAGAAGAAGCTATGGAAAAAGAGCACTGCAAGGAAGAAACGCTTGAGGGAATTTGTATTCTGCAATAAAACCCAGAGTAAACTCTTAGATAAAATGACCACATCTTTCTGGAAGAGACGAAATTGGTATGTGGACGATCCCTATCAAAAGTACCACGATCGCACGAACCTCAGAGTGTAGGATGGAAGTGTCCTGGCTCGTCAGTCATTGCTTATGTCTGATTATGATGTCTCTGCAAGAACGAACAAGTATAAAACTTAACAAGTGCTATGTAAACATACAACACTGGTATGAACTTCTGAGAGTTTTAAGACAGAATGGATTAAATATTCCCAGATTTGGTAGGAAACCAGAAGTCTCAAATGGTGTGTTATTTTTAATACATGATAGTGGCTTACTGAGTTGTTCTAGTTTGGCTTATTTTGTTGCCAGACAGCTCAAGTGAGGAAAAACATAAAAAGCCTCCAGAGCCCACGAGTTCTGCTAACACCGTGTGATGTCACTTGAAGAGTGCGGGCCTGAGAATTGCCTTGCTGAGGTGGGGTGGGGGGACTCAGGGTCCCAGGGCAGGGGCTTCAGAGCCAGGTGGGGCCTGGGAGTCTATAGCCACACCCACTGGAACAGCCACTACACACTTCTACTGTATTTAACTTGGGGCGAAGGGAATTTTGATTACTTATAATTTTTGTTTTGAGGGTAGGAAGACTTACTATGGATGCTGATTGTATAGTTTGACAGAAATAACTTTCATGACACAGTACCTAAGACAGTCAAGGGTCTATACAGTTTATAAAGTGTATAGTTACTTACTCAGGTCTGTACATAATGAAATGTGTTGAACACCCACTACTTCCTAGCATATCCACAAAATACTCCCTGCTGCAAAACTGCTGTTCCTTACCTTGACCTTAGAAAGCAGATACTGTTTCTTCCTGGTTTAGACTGCAGGAAACTGAAGCTTTGCAGATTTAAGTAAATATGCTGAAAGACAGCGAAGTCCCACAAGCCCAGTCTCAATTCTTTGAGATCAGGTGCCTCTTACTTGCTCTCCTGTTGCCTCTCCTTGGCCCTGGTGAAAATCCCTATGTAAACAACAGGTGTCAGGGCTAGAACTGTGAGAGGACTTCAGTGAGTTCAAAATCACCCCTCTGCCTGTCCACTCCTCAAATGGCTGCAGTGGCTGGGGTGAAGAATTAAAACCGCCTTCTAGTGAGCTGTTCTGTTTTCACACCTACCTGTTTCTAGCACAAGACAAACAGATACCTTAAAACTTTTATATTTGTGTGATCAACTGGTTTCAGAAACTTTGATGTCATTTTTTTTTCTCCCCGCAATCCTGTGCAATAAGCCTGAGCCAAGTCACTTGGCCTGTTAGTAGCTCACCACTCAGCCACTAATCCTTGCTATCTTCCACATAAAAAAAAAAATTTCCTCTTCCTCATAGACCCAACATGACCAAGATGTTGCTTTTGAAAGAAAAATGTTAAGACTTTATTCAAGGTGTATATCAGGCAATCATAACAAAACAGCAGAACTTCAACCTCTGGAATACTGTAATTTTACATCCCTTTGTTGCACAGTCCAGTACACGATTTCATTACAGATAACTCTATAGGGACTACAGAAGAGAATCAGAGGAGATTGCACAGTCACAATCCAGCATCCCCACCCTCACACGTACTCCACCGCCGTCAGGATGACACTACATCCTTGGTGCTGCAGGTACTGTGCAAGGTGAAGGACTAGGAAGGCTCAGTGACGGTCATGGTCGATGAGCACTCTCACCACAAACACGCGGACAGCTTACCACGGAGAGCACGCACATCACAGGCCAGCGAAGTGAGCAAGCTAGTGACACACAGCCAGGAGGGGCTGGGACTGGGCTCTCCAGTTTCTAAGCACAATGCCCCGTCCTCCCCACCTCCTCAGAAACGGAACAGGTGTTCAATGGCAATTACCTCAAAGTGACAACATGGAAATTTTACAGACGTTTTGAACTAGTGTTTTGTAAACAGCCTGTGTGTAAGTCAGTAAGTTAAAAAACAGTCAGTTATAACCTTGAACTGGAACACGACAGCACCACCTGTACACCGACTGGCATTCATATCGTCTGTCAAGTCACACAGCTATGCAGTCTGTTGGAGCAGTAAACACATTTTGCCAGAAATACGGCAGCTGCTCTCGGTTGTACAGTGAGTGTCTTTAAGAAACCAATTCCCTAATCGACACATGAAGGGAAAAAAAAATTAGTTACATTAAGACAGCAGCTTGGATACCTTTCAATTTCTTAATCTTGAATGAGAATAATACAGCATGGCTAAAAGAGTGCTTCGGATTTTTTTTTGGCATAGTTGAGTGCAAACTTGGTAGCCTGTACTCGTTGCAACTTTCTATCGCAAAATGGTGAACATAGAGCTTGTCCACAATAGGACTTTAAATGCTGCTGCTAAAGGCATTTGAGTATTTTGGCAAAACAAAAGTTACGAAAAAGCTGCTAAACTCAGTAAACTTTTTTTTGCACTTGTTTTTGTCTATTCTGGCTACTCCCAACTAATAAGCAAACGCATTTGGAAGAGTGTCATTTCCTTCCAGAAAGAGGCAGGTCTGGGTGTTGCTGGGTGAGGGGCACACAGCCTCATACTTGTTGGGGGGCTTATTTTCCTAAGTCCTTTTGTAAAGTACCAAATCATCTTCAGAGGACCTGCAGGCACAAGGCATTTCAGTATGCACATGAGGCAACAATCAAGTCACACTCAAACCCTTCCTGGGGGGAGAGGAGATCCAGCTAACGTGTCCACCGAAGGATGCCCGCGTAGCTCAATCACAGAACAGTTCTTAGTTGGGCCTGTTAATAGCTGACAGTAAATTCTATGTGGTCGACAACATGGATTCTCTAGCCTTCAGGGCGGAGCTACAACACTGCACAGGCTGAGTAACTGGGTTGTGAGCACTGCATGCATTACACTGAAAGGAAACGACTCTAAGCACAAACACGCTAGTTCTACAGTTTCAGCCCAGCTTCTGGGGGCTGGGGCTTGAGGCGGGAGCTACTTCAGAGTACAGTGCTACTCAAACCAGTCTTCTTTGCAAAGGAAATTCTCCAAGTAGGGAGTCCTCTAAGCCCTTCCTCCCCTACACAACAGTGGAACGTGAGTGTTAGCACTGCCCCACCCCTATTCCCACCCCATCACGTTCGCCCATGCAGCCCAGGAGAGGAACAGAGGCTGGGATGTCAGCTACAAAGTCTTAGCCACACAAATCACAACCTTGAAAGCACAGGAGACACAGGGTGGACGTCACAGGTGTACTTTACAGCATATCGGAAGCAGCTGAGTTCTGGGGTTTTGTGTAGGTTTGTATTTGCTGAATGTACTCCCACGCGTGGCCCTCAGGCCGTCAGTTCTCACACACGAGGCCGTGGGCTGCAGCGCTGGGGCAGTCCGTGAGAAGGAGCAATGGTCATTTGCTATGCACCCGGGAACCCCTGCAGCCCTCCTCCCCAGCAGCTCTGGGACGCTCCAACCCTGCCAAGGATTGCCAGGGTTGAGCCGCAGCCCAGAGGCAAGGTTAGAACTTCCCGCCACACTCCTCTTACTCTACGAAGCTGCTCTGTTGCTAAAACATTCTCTTTCCTGGTTTCTCTGATTTACTGATGGAACGGCTCTCTGAGGGACAAGGGACATCTCCTGGCAGGAAAAGGGATGCTTTGCTAGGGTTCCATTTAGAGGCTTTCTAAGCACATCTGAGACATTTTCTGGAATCAACTTTTTTTTTTTTTTTAACATTTCTGATTGTTGTACTGTTCCTACATATCAGAACCTCCGGCAGCCTTTGCAAGTCCATTATGTTAAAGCCAAAAGCCATAAATATGTACATCATCGTCCCAAGGATTAGTACCAAGAGAAAAAAAAAAAGGTTTAAAAAAATTGCCTGATTTATACGACTACAAACTATGTAGGCAACAAATAAATTACACATGTACATTTCAGCAGCGTCGGGGTGAGTCTGTGCCCTATGTCAAAACACATTGCCATGTGCAGTGGCGATCCAGCCGTGGGCAACTACCAACTTCAGAAGCCTCACAGGTCACTCTTCACCCCTACCTTTCCCTTTAGCCTCTCCCCTGCAAACTAAGGAACAGGAAAGCAACAAACAGAACAGACATCAACAGGGAGGTGGGGAGAGGAGAAAAGGCGGTGTCTGCGCGGCTGCACGCTCCGAGCACAGCCAGCTGGCGGATTTCTGTTGTTAGTGGGTAGCTCTTAAGGCAGAGAAGACATTCTGCGGCCCGGTGCTGTTGGCTCCTCTCACTCACGTGGTTTCTGTGGCCGAGGATGAGGTACTTTTCTTCCTGAAGCGAGATCGAAGGATTCTAGGCGGTGCCTGGTCGGGGCAACAGAGAGGAGCGGTCCCTCAGTTTGGCAATAATGTGGAGTCTTGTGAGGATTATACCCGATGTGTGTACACGTGTGTGTATGTGTGTGTGTACGCGCGTGCGCACACATCCTGCTCCCGTGACCAAAGCCAACCTTGCAAGGCTACTGGCAGGGGCCGTAGCCTCCCTGAGTCTCCCAAGGAAGCCAGGTCCTGAGCCTCATCCCAGCACCCACCCCGCTGAAGCCAAGCCCCCGGCCAAGGCCAAGGCCAAGGCTGCCTCCCCCTGCCTCCCTACCAAGGGCCAGGGGGCAAAATGATTGTAACAAGTGACTCAGCGCCCAGCAACACCTCCCCACATCTTCTGAGGCCTAAGGGAACCAGTGTTGCTGGGTACGTGCTTCCGCTGTCTGTCCCTGGGTCCCCAATCTCTTTCCTAAATGCAGAGTGCTGCAATGCATGGTAAATTGTCCCTGCAAAGGCTGGCAGCTCCCACCTTTCCGCCCCAGGTCACTCTCCAGGGACCCTGCCTCCTAGGGAACACATAGGTCACAGGGGGGGGTTATTGTTTGACCCAGCACAGCACTGTAACTTGAGCACACACTGACCCATGGCCCCAGTGCACACACAGCCTCCCTCCCCCATGGCTGGCTTACTTGTCTGTCCTGGACTGTCTGGCTGGTATGCACCCCCCAGCCCCAAGGACCCAGCTCAAGGCTCTTCTGCAGAGCTTTTTTGAGGGGCTTCTCCCTTGCCGTGTCCTTCACGGCCCACAGCAGAGCACGCAGCATCCAGTACTGCGTGGGTGTGCTCTGCACGTTACCTCCCCACCCAGCTCCAAACTTCTCAGGCCAGGCCAGGCCTGGGTGGGTCAGACGCATCACCATTTCCTGGTGACTGGCAGGCACAGAGAAGGGAGGGAATATATGGATCAGAGAACAAGGATCCGGACCTTGCTGGGTCCCTAAGATGCAGCCTCACCACTCTAGGAAATGTGTACCCGCCATCTGGACATGGGCGGAAACAGAGGTGGGATCTATCCGCCCCCCCCCCCGGCTTTTTTTGGTAATCTACCTCTTGGCATGATGTTGCCACAAACCCAAGAAGACAATGCCAACCCTTAGGCCCTAGAATGTTTGGGGCTGGGATCCTTTCTTGTCATGAGGCTACAAGGCTCTCATGCCCAGATGGGCTCCAATGGGAACTTCCATGCTGTGCCTCACCTTGCCAAGAACCAGACGATTTCCTGCACCTGAAGGTGGTCCCAACAACCATCCCAGTGTGTGCGGGAACACCAGGACACTGCGCCTGCATGGGGAACGTTCCATGCAGTTCCTTGTTTGAACCTCGTGGACTCTCCACCTTGTTGACCTGCCTCAGATGCACTGTCAGACAGGTGAAGAACAGGCCCTGCTAGCCCTGGCCCCTGGTCCACCTGTCTCTGAGCCTGTGATGGGTGACTGCCCACTGCCATCACAGCAGCAGGCTCAGCCCACCTGCCACCAAACCTCTGTGCCCATCCCTGAGCCTAAGGAACTGTATCATGAAAAATAAAGAATAAAAACAAAAACAAAAACAAAAACAAATCTCTGCTGCACTGCAGCTGGCAACAGCGCTTGGGACTTATGAGTTGGCTTTGGTGATGCTAAGAGGCTGTACCCTTCTAGGAACATTCTAGGGACAGCGGGACTGCTACGGTACCGCTGTGCCTCAGCCATGCAGGCACGAACAAGCCCAATTCATCCACTCGTCAGGTCCATTTGGAACTTTTCTTTGTCCCCAGGCATGTTTTTGCTTGCATATCAGGTTAGTAGTTGTTAATATCTGAAAACGAACCCTCCAAAATCTGTTTCTTGGCCTCCTGTCCTCATCCTACATACAGTTAGTAGGGGCTTTTCCCCTGGCCAGCAGTTGAACACCCCCCACCCAGTGTCTCAGTCCACCTCTCTGATCTGTCTGCTCCGGACATGCAGGAAGTATCAGGTGCCAAATGCATGCTGCCCCTGCCCCCACCCACCTCACAGCCCCAGACACCGTGTACCTCCAGGGGCAATTCCGTCCTGCGTGGTGCCTTAAACTTGTACATGAAATCCAGCAGATCTTCCTCCTCCTCGTCAGAAAACGCCAAAGGGTTTTGGACCCGGTGGGGGTCCCATGCCTTCACACCACCCTCATTCACATCTCCCTCAACCACTTAATGTCCATTTACAATCTATGCAGAGGAGATAAAGCACAGGGCATGGGGACGTCAGCCGGAGGAGGGGCGGGGACGGGCAAGGTTAGGCACAGAGCACACAGCCAGGCCTGGTTAGGACAGGTGCAGTCACCCCGTGTCTGAGGAGGGAGCAGTATCTATGAGTCCTCCCTCTGGGATGCCCAGGGACAGGAGAGTATCCTCGGGTGCTATGTCCAAAGAGAGCCATGGGCTCACTGAGAACTGCAGGTCTCCAGAGAAGAACAAAGCCACAGGCTTGGCAAGTCCTGCAGTGCATGTGTGGTTCCCTGGCAGAGCAATGCTAGCAAAGAATCTCCAAGAAGGGCAGGGCTGCATGGCTCCGTCAGGTCAACACCGCACCTGCGGATTTAGCACCAGGCATTTCTGAGAGACAGCATGTAAGAGGCCAGGAAGCCTCCAGGGGTAACGGTCAACAAAGCAGCTTTGTAGAGTTTCATTTCCAGGTCTGGTCCAAGAGAAGAAGACAGTCCTGGCAAGCAGACGCTGATGGTAGCCTCCCCTTGAACACCAAAAACAACCATGTGATTCCTGCTCCGGTTGGCCTCGAGCCAACCACAGGGAAAGCCCTTGCATGAATGCTCTATATTCTGCAAATGTGAAATGCGGACACGTGCTTCATGTTGTGTGGCCAGGTGGTCCTGTCTTAGTCAAGCAGAGGGACCCTCTCTGCCTTTGGCTGGCTAATCCAGCACGCACAGACACATGCCTTCATGCCTGACAAATTGTCATGACCCAGAACCACAAGCACCCCCCCCCCCCACCCCGGCTTGTCTGCTCCAATCCCTGAGGTCTGCAGACAAACCAGGCTATTGCCTGGGACACCCGCTATTGCTCCAAAATTTGAGTATAGTCATCAAACGTGCCAACTCCATCAACGGGGTCTGACTGGACTAACAGGTGTGGAGCAAAATGAACAATTGGTCCCCAAACTCAGCTTTACCAGACACTGCTGCTATACTCCTGATCAGACAGCAGGGGGCGGCAGGCACACACAGCTGCTGCAAGCAAGTTTTTTCTTGTGGAATTACAGGCTGGGGATCTGCTCTGACAGCACCTTATTATGAGCTTCAGATTCTGAAGCTTCTTTTTTCTCCTGTGTTTGCACTGTCTGTGCACAGCCTGTTTAATCTAGGCCTTGGCTGCTCTCAGGCTCTTTCCCTACTCCAAAACGGAACTCCTGGGACACAAGAACCTGCAACTCCACAAGCCCTTTCCAAAATACCCAAAGTGGCTCCTGGGTCAGGCCTGCCCAAAAGCTGATCCCTCCTCCCTCCACTCCTCCCTCCAGCTGGATTAGCTGACAGCTAATCCGCCAACTTAACCAAGTGGATATCTGAGCATATATGGCCTTAGCCCGAGTCAGAGCCTGCCACCAGTCATCCAACAAATTCCTTCTGAACGGGAGGCATAACACTGAAAGACTAGCGCCCTCAGCCCCAGGCAGAGACTGCACAAGCAGCCTGGCCATCTTGACCAGGCAGACAGCTGCATCACAGGAGGGCAGGACCCCATGGCGTGGCATAGGCACACACTTTTCCCTCTGAAGCCACACCAGGTCCTTCCCTGTCCTGCTTACTGGTGAGTTTCAGAAGGTGGGCCTGAGCTGGCCTGAGAACCTGAAGCATCCAACAAGTCAGGCTGCCTGCCCAGCCTGTCTGCACTGAGGCTGAGGAATGAACAGCCACATTACTGAGATCACAATTGCCCTCTCTGGGCCAAGCTCATGATGGCTTTGTGTATGTCCTCCGCTGCAGCTTAAGCGCGTGCTACAGGGAGAAGGGAAGTGACCTTATGGTCCATGAGGAGCCGTGGTCAGTGGGGAGTTCAGTCACTCAGGCAGGAAGAAAAAAACGAGTGCTGGGCCAAGGCTGGGAGCGAACGGAGGCTGGTGTGGGTGACAAGGCACACAGGAGCCTCGGAGAGGAACTGCAGAGCGAGCCCACAGGAAGAAGCAGAGCTTTCCTGGCTACTATGGAGTCAAGTGGCTGAGCACCCACTGGGCTGAGGCATCCATGGACACCACACCTCTCATCTCTATGTTCCTCTCTTTGCAGGGGCTGCTAGGAAGCTCGCCATTCACTGGCATGTGTCTAGAACCTTTTCATCCCCGACTTTCTTGATTCTTCTCCGAGCTTCACTATTCTTAACTCTGGTTCTGCCTGGCATTGTGTAGTTCCACACGTAGATGCAGTCCTATTTGACACAGGGAGGAGTGTGAGGGCAGGGAAAATCCTCTAGGACATGGTTGCAGTGAAGGTGGAAAACTCAGTAGGGAGTTTCCTCGGCAGAGTTTGTGACCACAGGGGTGCCCTCCCTACTGCCGGGCAGCAGAGCCGAAAGCACAGCTAGCCACAGTGCTCTGGGGCAAGGTCCTGGTGACGGCAGCTGAGGCCTGGAGCCCACAGAGAGCTGCCACCGAGGCACTCTGGGGACAGGGTAGTCTCCTATGGCAAGGCTGACAGTTCTGGGCTGGCTGGGCCAGGGGAAGTGGCTAAGTCTCATAGTTCTAGAAAGGTGCAAGCAGAGCTGGTGGTTGCCCTCCAACCCCCTGCACCTCCTCCCTTCTCCCCTCCTGCCCCTCCCCTGCCTCCAAGCAGAGGCACATGCCCCAGGGTTAGCAAACATCCCACACGGCAGGCACACGTTAGCTGCAAGAGAGCTCACACCCCTCTGGAACACTTACATCCGGGTCCCCATCAGCCACCGAGGAGAGAGAAGAGAAGATTCTGTTAGGGCAGGCTCCTGGGAAGAGACGCATGTGCACACGAGCGCACGCACACACATGCACACACGTGTGCACACACAAATGTACGCGCACACGCTCCTCACAGTCCAGCCCTTGGACAATTCCTCCCGCGGTGGTCACAGGAAAGACAACTGCCCTGAGGCCACAAAGGCAGGCAATCCTTCACTCTCTCAGAGACAGCAGCGAAGAAAGAAATCATGAGGCCCCCACAACTGACTTTCCAGAAAATATTCAGAGGTGCCTGCAGGACTTACTGCAGGTGGTGGTCTGGAGGGTAGCTCCAAAGAGTATCCAAGTGACCCAGAGAAAAGAGGGGCTTTGGGGTGCTGGGGCAGAGGGTAGAAGCACAGAGAGGTGAAAGCATGCAGGGAGTGGACAGGGGCAGGAAGGGAGCAGAGGTGGGGAGAGAACATGCCGGTAACTGCTGGAAGTGAAGCTAAACCTGACACCTGCCATTCTGCAGGACTCCTGCCAGCGGCTGTCACTGCCCTGGGTCATCCTTACCGGCCCCCAGGAGTGACCTGACCCTTCCCAGCAGCCGGCTTAAAGTCATGGAGAGCAGAGGAGGGCAGGGAGAAAGTGGCTAGGTATCTCTCTGACCCCTGTCCTCTTCCCAGCAGGGGCAGCCTGGAGCCCGGGGAGCAGAGCTTTCCCTGGGGCCAGGGTGGGCTGGACAGCCCAGCCATCAGAGGATTCCTTATAAGCAGAGATGTTGGGGAGAGGAGAGCCAGAACTTGGAGAAGCAGAGGTAGGGGGTAGTAGCCTAGGCCAGGTCCATCCCCTGCCAACAAGCAGCTCCCTAATGAAAACCCCCCTGCCACCACCCATGTACACCCCAGAAGGAGGAACCAGAACTGCCCCCATAACACACACACGCACACCCGCAGCCACCAAACACAGGTGTTGGTTAAGGTACTGGAAATGCAGCTTTTGATCACGACCACGGGCATCGGGTCACATCATAGCAGGTAAGAGGTGGGAGGAGGGGCCGAGGTGGGCACCGCATAGCTGCCTCCTTGGTTCCAGCATGGCCACCAGGTCCAAGTCTGAGTGCTTGGCGTGGGCAACAGCTGAGTGCAGCCCCATTGTGTCTGACATGGTCATGTAGGCCTGGTGGGACATGTGCTGGGGTACCACACTGAGCCCACTGCATCCCTGCTCAGCACTCATTAGTTCACTTTGACCTCCAAACTCTTATCTTCAGCAGGCCTTAGCAAGCCCAACCACCAGGGTGCAGCCGTTAAACAGGGCACCTGTCCTGCCCATGTCCCATATCTGAGTGTCCAGGTTCAAGACCCGGCTTTGCTTCTGGTTCCAACTTTCTTGGAAATAGCAGTGGATTGCTCAAGTAGCCAGGTCCCCATCATCCATGTGCTGGGAGGCCCACATTGAGTTCAAGCTCCTGCTTTGGCCAGCCCTGCCAACCCCAGCTGCTGTGGGTATTCAGGCACTGAATCAGCAGATACAAAAGGTCTCTCTCTGCCTGTCTGTGTCTATCTTTGGTACAGAAAATAATGAAAAAAAAAAAAAGTTTAGTACTGGGGCCAGCACTGTGGCTCAACAAGTTAATCTTCTATCTTTGGGCCCGGCGGCATGGCTTAGTGGCTAAAGTCCTCGCCTTGAATGTGCCGGAATCCCATATGGCTGCCAGTTCTAATCCTGGCAGCTCCACTTCCCATCCAGTTCCCTGCTTGTGGCCTGGGAAAGCAGTCGAGGACAGCCTTGGGATCCTGCACCCATGTGGGAGACCTGGAAGAGGTTCCTGGTTCTCAGCTTTGGATGGGCACAGCACTGGCCGTTGCGCTCACTTGGGGAGTGAATCAGTGGACAGAAGATCTTCCTCTCTGTCTCTCCTCCTCTCTGTATATCTGACTTTGTATTAAAAAATAAATCTTAAAAAAAAAAATCTTCAAGCACCAGCATTCCATATGGGCGCTGGTTCATGTCCCAGCTACTCTGCTCCAATCCAGCTTGCTGCTTGTGGCCTGAGAAAACAGTGGAGGATGGCTCAAGGCCTCGGGACCCTGCATACACATGGGAAACCTGGAAGAAGCTCTGGCTCCTGGCCTCGGTTCAGCTCAGCTCCTGCTGTTGCAGCCATTTGGGGAGTGAACCAGTAGATGAAAGATCTTTCTCTGTTTCTCCTTTTCTCTGTAAATCTGCCTTTCTAATAAAAATATATCTTAAAAATTTAGCACTGAGAGGCCTTAAAAATGAAGAAATCGAGAGAAACCAGAATACCCCCTCTAACACCATTCTGTGTCCTCTGCTCTCCATGAATGTGGGAGGGACATGTGTGCAGAGGTGCTAACAGCCACAGAGGGCACCTTGCTCCCTCCCCACCACCAGCCAGCAGCTGCAGATGGTAGGGGTGCGGTGGGCTGCAGGAGCCCTCTGGCCTTCTGGGCCAAAGGCAGTTCCCTTTGGGGAAGCTAGATGGGGTGAAACAACTCACGCCCACTCCCACTTCCTCCCCAGTTAGTCCTGAATGTGCCTGGACCAGAGCAACAGGTCACGGAGCCACGTGTGAGCCTCCATTCACACACACCCAGGCAGCAGCAGGAGGCCCTGCACAGAACGGGGAAGACCCCAGCCCCGCCACTTTGTCCCTCAGATCTCCCAGTTGCTTCAGGTCAGGATAACAACACCACTGCAGACGGGCCTTGGCCTGCATTTCACAACAGTACAGCGGGGTGAGGAGAGCCGGGATCCACTGTCACTTCCAGGCGAGGAAACCCAGGCTCAGTGAGGTTAGGCAAGTCACACGAAGTCACACAGCCAGTAAGTGGCAAAGCAGGGCCTGGGTTCCCCGGGGCTGCAGCAGGACCATGAGCCCCCAGAGCTGTGGGGCTGCCTCCCTTCCAGGGGACTTAGTTAAGCTCCCATGGCTCAGTGAACAGGGACACATGGCCCTGCCAGGGTAGAAGACAGCTGTATGTGTTCTTCAATAACTTTCCCCTTTAAGAGGTGGGGGCTCATCCTCCTGCCTTCCAGGGGGGCTGGACTTGATGCCCCACTTCCGCCTAACTGAACAAGGTAGGTGGGACTTCAAACACCAGGTCATCAACAGCACAGTGGCTTCCTGCCTGCTCAGCCCCCTTCAGCCACTTGCTCTGCCAAGCCACCTGCCATGTCACAAGGACACTCAAGCAGCCCTGCAGAAGCCCACGTGGTGAGGAAGGGAGTCCTCCAGAGAGAGCCGTCCTGGAAGTGGATCCTGCAGGCTCTGTCAAGCCTTCAGGGGACTCCACCTGGCTGGGAGCTAGGATCGCTCAGTAAAACTGCTCTGGTCCCTAGTCTGCAGTAGCTCTGAGACAACGTGCCCGGCCGCCCCATCCATGCAGCCGAAATGGAGCCCCAAGGTCAGGTGCAGCTCAAGGTTAGAGCCTCCTCCCCAGGCGGGAGCCCAGCACACTGGGGCCAGGCCGGCTACTTACTTACCTTTCCTGGTCCTGCAGGTGGAGCAGCAGGTACACACTGTGGGAATGGGGCGGGGGCCATCAGTGACAGTTCCCCAAGAAGACTAGGTGAAACAGGGAGGCCCCAGGAGAGGTGAGGGGATCCCAGCGTGTTTGGTAAGGGGGTTCCAGGAGCGTGGGTCTGCTGAAATACCAAGGGCTCACTTCTAAGGGACCAAGTCAATCCTCATATTAGTCTGCTCTGGGAAATCACTTCAATCACTTTGGCCAGAGCCCCCTCCCCGCTACTTACTCCTTGTGGTTCACAAGTTTTCCCAGAACCTCCTCAGGTTGACCTCTGAACTCCAGAGTACCTGCTATGTTGGCACCTAGCTGAAGGCCCACCTGGCTACCCTGTCTTGGTGCTAACGGTCTGGGCGCACACCTGGGCTTATTCGGCAAACAGTAGGTGCTCACTGGATACGGTCTGAGTGACAACCAGTCCATAGAAGGCTAGGATCACTTCAGCATGCTGCCCCTGCTTCTGTCCAGTGCTGGGCAGGCATTCATGAGAGCATGGTGGCCCTGGCTCATTGAGTCAACAGGCTAATCCTCCCCTTACAAGCATCAGGATCCCATATGTTCATATCTTGGCTGCTCTACTTCCCATCCAGCACCCGCGTGTGACCTGGGAAAGCAGTAGAGGATGGCCCAAAGCCTTGGGACCCTGAACCTGCATGAGACACCTGGGAGAAGCTCTAGGCTTTGGATCGGCTCAGCTCCAGCCACTGTGGCCACTTGGGGAGTGAACCAGATTTTTCTCTCCTTTCTGTAAATCTGCCTTTCCTATAAATATAAACCAATCTTTACAAACCTCTCAGTTCACTCTGCAGGGATGTGGGCAGGTACACTTCCCAGCCCCACCACAGGTGCTGAGAGGTACAGGAAAGTCATCCCTCTCTGTCTGATGCTCAGATTGTGTCCTCACACCAGATGCGAGGCCCTCAGGACGCCAGGCACATGGTGGGCACACTGGGTGGGCGCAGTTGCACAGGAGCGCACACAGCCTGGTCTGCCTGCCAGCAGCTTGCAGGACAAGGTAGCCGCTCACATACAATCTGCAGGCTCCCTCTTCTCTTCCTCCAGAGCTGCTGGGGCTTCCCCTTGCTCAAGACACAGGGAGCCGGGGTGGGGGCCAAAGCACCGCTGGTTAAGCTGCTGCTTCGCTGCTTCAGATGGCTGCATTCCACATCGGAGTGCTGCTTCAAGTCCTGGCCAGCCCACATGTGACCTAGCTTTCTGCTCATGCACCCGGGAGGCAGGCAGATGAAGACTGTAGTACTTGGGTCCCTGATGCCTGCGTGGGAGTCCCTGACACCTGCATCGGATGGGGCTCTCTGCTCTTGGCTGGCCTGGCCCAACCCTGCGTGGTGCAGCATTTGACGAGTGAACCAGCTAGATGGGAGATTCTCTCTCTCTCATTCTCTCACTCTCGCTCTTTCTTTCCAGTAGAGGAAAAGATATTTTTCAAAAAGATTTATTTCTTTTTTGTTAGAAAGATTCACAGAGAGAAGGAGATAGAGAGAAATATCTTCCATCCATTGGTTCAGTCCTCAAGCAGCTGCAACAGCTGGGGCTGAGTCAATCTGAAGCCAGAGCTTCTTCCAAGTCTCCCACATGGGCGCAGGATCCCAAGGCTTTGGACTGTCCTCTACTGCCTTCCCAGGCCACAGGCAGGGATCTGGAAGGGAAGTGGAGCAGCTGGGACACGAACTGGTGCCTGTATGGGATCCAGACATATGCAAGGTGAGGATTTAGCCTTTAGGCTGTTGCACTGGGCCCAAATTTAACATTTTAATAGGTAATGCATCTTTTAGACTAAATGCGCTTTGCTTGCAAAAAAAAAAAAAATTCTTGGAAAACTACAGGATGAGCACTCTCCTACCTCATTTTACACAAATTGTCACACTTTGTTCTGCAGTGTTCCCACCAAGCCCTGAGTTTACAAGATCCACTGGGGCACCCACTGAGCCTGTAGCTTCCAGTGTCTGCACATATAGCCACTTCCCCAGCCCAGGCACTCTTGCCCCAGAGCCAGGACCTAGGCTATCTTTCACTTGCCTTTCTAGCTAAACTGGCTTTCATTTGAGGCCCTGGAGTGGCTGTGATGTGTGCCCTACAATTCCCGGCCTCTCCACTGGGCCAGCACCTCCCTCTCTGGCTCCTGAAAACATAGATGTGAGGGGCCAGGCAGTGACAGGGGCTGGGTCACACTGCAGCACAGCTCCATATTGTCCTCTAGGGTACAGGCGCCCCCTGTCCAAACCAGGGTAGGGCAGCTCCGAAGCACACACTGGGGCCACATTGTGTCCCCTACTGTCCCAAAGCCTTTTATGTTTCAGACACTAAGGGCTAGGGACATCCCTGTTACTATTTAAGCATTTCATATTGCCCTTCCTGAGGCTAGAGGTCTTGCCAGCGCCTGGATCCCAGCCCAGTGTGGCCTTGGCCTAGTGCATGACCTCCCCGGGCCTGCCTCCTGCATTTGGTCCACCTCTCTCATGTCAGTAGGACTCAGAGGGAGGACCCACTTGCTTGTCAGAGGGTCCCCATCCACAGCCCATTCCCTCCTGCGCTCTCTCAAGCTGCACAGGTACTTTCTGGGGCAAGACAGCTAACACCAAAAACAGGAACCGTGGCGGCTGCCAGCATGACCCTGAGGACGCCCATCCAGCCTGGTCTCTGGGTCTGCTCACAGTGGCCCAACCAAAGGGTGACACCCCTGTGGAGACAAGGCTCTGTGGCACAGAGACAGCGAACAGTATACCTGCATCACAGGAGGATGGGCTGCCTTTGGTGACTACTGTGGCTCCCCCCACTCTCAACCCCAGTGCTTGCTCTGACCTCTGGGCCTTTGCTATGTGGCAGCTCTTCCTGGAAAGTGGAGCCATTTCCCAATCCCACTTTTCACCCTAGTGTTGGGGCAGGACCCCGAGGTCAGAAGCAGCTCCTGCACAGGGAGACCTGGATATTGGCACCTTAGGGGCTGCGGGCACTGGCCTGGGCTTCAGGAGGCCACACTATGCTGTGCCCAGCCCCATCGCAGTGACCCCACTGATAGGGCCCTGGGCTGAGGCTCTGGCTCCATTGCTGCAATCACAGGGTTAGACAGATGGGTCCTGAGTGCCCTGCTTGCCTAGACTTGGGGACCCTACTCCAAGCTCCTGGCCAAGGGGGTGCACCCAGGAGATAAGACCTCCTAGAGCTGGTTCTCACCCTGACCTCCCAAACTGTTCTACTGTCTGTTAGTAGTGAGAGGGTTAAACACACGACCTGGGGTGGGTGCTGTGGCATAGCAATGGGTTAAGCTGCTGCTCAGGACACCTGCATTCTACTCCAGAGCACCAGTTAGGGTTCTGTCTACACTGCTGGCAACCCAGCACCCTGCTAATGCACCTGGGGAGCCAGCAGGTGATGGCCCAAGTACTTGGGTCCCTGTCACCCACTTGGGGGACTCCCAGCTAAGCCCTGGCTGTTGCAGGTACCTGAGGCATGAATCAGCAGATGAAAGATCTCTCTCTGTCTCCCTCTGTCTTTCACTCTGCCTTTCAAGCAAACAATAAAATATGTGCTCTATAAATAAAGTAAATACACCTTCTAAAGAAATGTCCCAACAGAAAAGCTGTACTCTCCAGACCCTGGGGAAGGGCAAAGTGGACGCCCCAGAGAACCAGGGGGGGTTCTGAAAAACACTCAAGGGCAGAGCCCGGCTTTGAGTGAGCATACACATCCTCACAGCAACCACTGGGGTGGGCACTTTTCTGCCCATGCCTGAGACCCCCCCCCAGGGCAAGTCTGCACCTGGGGTTCCCAGGCTGGCCACACCTGTCAGCATCAGGGTTGGGACAGCTTAGATGCCCCCATTTGTACCAGGGTGGGACACGTACACACTGTGACCACAGACTACAAAACAGGCATCCAATCCCCACCACTCCCCCCATGGGGACTGCTCTCGGTTCCCTGTGGCCACTGACCCTTTGCTAGCAGCAGCCGAGCCGGGCCCCTGAGCCAGGTTCCTGTCCCCTCAGGGAAGAAGAGCCTAGGGAAGCGCAAGGCCTGGCCCAGTTGCGTACCTACCTGGAGTCCACACCCTCTGTGAACCTGAAACCCACACGGATGGGGAGATACTAGGGGATCCCCACCTCAGCTGCACCTCCACATCTGCACCTACTGGGTCTCAGCCTGCCTCAACTAAGGCATCCAATCGTTAGCTCAAACTCTACACTGTCGGATGATGACCCTAGGCCACTCTCATTGTGGGCACCTGACACTCAGCCTTGTGCAGAAGGAACAGAGGTAAGGTTCCAGGAGGGCCTGGTCAGCACTGCCATTAGTTCTGAGGGCTAGCCTGGCTCTGGGTATGCAGGGGCAGAGGTGTGTGTGGTGGATGGGAGGGTGGGAGGAAGGCTAGGAGATATACAGGTAGAGAAGAGGAACCATGAGAGCTAAGTCCTTGGTGGAGCACAGAAGTGGGGACGGGCTCAGAGAGGAGGGGAACAAAGAAAGCATCCACAGGTCAAGCCCAGCTACACCTGCGGCCTTGAGTGGGTTCAGGCACAACCACCAACCACGGCCACTGCCCTGAGCCATCAGACGGTGGACACAGGACCTCCGGCCTGGGCACAGACACCTCAGCTGGTGGCAGGTGCATGGGGGGGCTGGGGCCAGGAAGCATGCCACATGGTGTGCCAGGCCTATCTCAAGGAAACCGAGGTGAAAGGAGTAGGGGACGGGGGTGGAGGGGGGGTGTCAAATGCCACCTACCTGAGCTGCCAGCGCTCTCGGAAGCACTCCGGGACATCTTGGGCTGGCCATGCTTGCCGCTGGCCCGTCCCGGCCCTGGTGGAGGAGGACCCGCAGGAGCAGGAGCCCCATCGCCCCTGATGGTGGTGAGGTCCTGCATGCTGAAGCTACGGAGTCTCTCGGATAAGGCACCCTGTCCCTGGATGCAACACAGAAGGATACACGTCAGGGGTCTGGCGCACAGGTTCATGGGCAGGGATGGGGTGGAATGGCAAGAGATGGCGGGCAAGTGGGTGGGGAGGGGAAGGAAGAGGGAGAGCCCTCTGCAGAGATTCATGCCTGCAACATTCCAAGACCAAGTGCAGGCTCAGCCATTGCTCCTGCACCTTCAGGCTCTTTCCTCTCCATCCAACACTCCCACGAAGAATGGCAGCCTCAGACAGACCCAGGGCCGTGGCCAGGGCCCCCACTCTGCGGAGGGCACGGGCTGCTTCTCTTGCTTTACAGAAATGAAAACCCAGACAAGGCTACATTTTCTTCAACACTCACTACCCATCTGGCCAAAAAAACCAAACCCTTGTATTGTACAGGCTCAGTCCTTACTCATTTCAAAGAAAAGATCACCAGAATTAAAGAAAATGCAGTACACAAATGCTATGCAGTATTATTTGGGTATAAAAAAAAAAAGATGGGGTCTGGTATGGTAGCCTAGCAGCTCAAGTCCTTGCCTTGTAAGTGCCAGGATCCCATATGGACACCGGTTTTAATCCTGGCAGCTGCACTTCCCATCCAGCTCCCTGTATGCAGCCTGGGAAAGTAGTCGAGCACGGCCCAAAGCCTTGGGACCCTGCACCCATGTGGGAAACCTGCAAGAGGCTCGAGGCTCCCGGTTTTGGATTGGCGCAGCTCCAGCTGTTGCAGCCACTTAGGGAGTGAATCATTGGATGGAAGATATTCCTCTCTGTCTCTTCGCCTCTCTGTATATCTGACTTCGCAACAAAAATAAATAAGTCCTAAAAAGAAAAGGATGAAATTCTACCATTTGCCACAAATGGACTCAACTGGAGGACCTCATGTTGAGTGAAATAAACTTGACCCAAGAACACAGATATCATATGTTCTCCCTGCAATGTGGGAGCTAAAACTTAAAAACAAAAAGAAATGAAAACAAAAAATAATGGTTGTGTGTATCAGTATTGATGCAAATACAGTTTTAAAGCTTTGTTTTATAAGTTTGTCAGACCATTGGTTAAGAGTGTTATACAACTATAATTCAAAGTGTACTGTATGTGGGTGACGCGGTCATGTTTTCCATTCAATTCTTATTTAAACTGTTGTTTTATTCTTGCTAAACTACAGTCTTTTTCTTTTTTTTTTTTTTTACTTGTTCAATGTCTTATTTAGTGGAGTATTAATCTTTTACAGCAATGTAACTTCAAAATACACAATAATCTCAAAACTAAACAACAAAACAGAAAGGAAGAAGGAAGGAAGGTGGGCGGGCCAGTGGGCGAAGAGCAAGGGGAATAATCTCATTGCTTCTGTTGTATCTACGTATCATGCTGAATCAGTTAAAAACTCATTTAAAAACAGAAATAAAAAGATTTGTAAACGTGTGACAGCAGTGGTTCCGGTGCTGCGTTTGTGCGCTACTGTTTACACCACATACTTCCTTCTGCGGCTGCACTGAGGCTTCACAAAATACCCAAAGGCAAAGGGCAGGAAAAGTCTGACAGCTTGAAACAGGCCCCTGGGGCCTGCACCATCCCACATGCTGAAGGGACCGCAGGATGCACACGTGGGGGAGGGGGCGTGGCTCTGTTACTCAGGAAAAATGAATGCAGAGAGAGTTTGCTGTGGCTGCATGACAATGGGGTGCCTTGCGGGTCGCAGCAGGGACTGCCTGGAGACCCAGGATGGGACAGGTAAGTAACCACAAGCCAAGTTCATGAACTTGGGAATTTTCAATCACTGGCTGGGGTGCGCAGTGTCCATCATAGGTGGGGCCAGCAGCAGAGGGAGCAGTTTTTTACTTGCTACCAAGGTGACTGTGCCCCACAGGTCTAGAGGAAGTGAGGACCCTCAGAAACAACAAACAAGGGACTCAGCGAATGCACACTGACCAACAGAGCAACCAGCAGGTGGGCGTAGGGAGGTGGGTGCTGACACAGGCAGGTGCCTGACAGCTGGGGAAGAGGCTGTCGTACTCAGCAGATGGGCTGGGGATTTTGTTTTGTTTGCTGTCACACCATCATCATCACTATCATCATCATCAATTATGAAAGGGGCTGGTGTTGTAGCACAGCCTGCTAAGCTCTCTCCTGCAGCACTGGTACCCCACATGGGCACAGGCTGGAATCCCAACTGCTCCACTCTGTAATCCAGCTCCCCACTAATGCACCTGAGAAAGCAGGAGAGGATGGTCCAAAGTGCTTGGGCCCCTGCACCTAGGGGGAGACCTAGAAGAAGCTCCTGGATCCTGGCTTCAGTCTGGTACAACCTAAGCTGTTACCTCTATTTGGAGCGAACCAATGAATAAACATATTTTTTTCTGTCTCTGTAACTCTGCCTTTCAAAGAAATAAATAAGTCATAAAAATATAATAAAAACAGAGGAGTAAAGCACAAAGGTCTAGACAGTATAGAAGAGCAAAATGCCAAAAAAACAGCAAGGGGAACAAACGAGAGCTGTTTGTTCCACAAACATGAGCTAAACAGGAGCCAGATGTATTCCCAACCTACCAAGTCTCCAGGAAACTAAGAACAAGAACCACAAGAAAACCAAACAACCAAATATACACCCAGAGAACAATCAAGCTGGACAAAGGGGTGCTCGTAGGACATCAAGTATCAAAAAAGACAGAAAGCACCCTGGTTAGCTCAGCCTCTTCCTGCACAGGTGCAAGGCCTTCTCTAGAAAATAACAGCTTGGCCAGGGTGGGGAGCGGCGGTGTCTTTGCTAAGACAGTAGAGCCCGGAGCAACCGCCTGCTCCATTTCCTCTGAACCTAGCAGCCAAGGACCCATGGGGTACGTTCCTTAGAAATATTTTAGATCATCTTGAGGCATGAGAAGGAATTCAAGGACCAGGGAGCCAAAACTGACTCTACAGTGAGAACATTTTGTGGTAATTGTCAGAATTGAGGAATGTAGGCCGACTATTCACTGATCTGCTCTTTCACCCACCCTCCCACTTACCCATGTGTATTTCCTAGGGAAACACACCACACTATTAGAAAACACCAAAAATATAGCTCAAGTTCGGACAAACTGCAGAGTCATATGGACACATAACCTGGAGGTGCAAACCCAGGAGCTCCAACACCCGAAGGTTAAGAATGACCTTTCTCAAGCCAGGCTTGGGTTTGAATTCCAGTCCTGTCATTTGTACATCTGGGAGACCCTCTCCTCTCTCTTGCTGCATGCCCTCCTGTGCAGAAGAGCATCCCCAAGTGGGGCGCTCAGGCCTTGGACACCCACCCTCCAGACCCACTGAACAGCCATGGTGACACTGATGTCACCGGTGAAATCAGAGAGAGAGAGAGAGAGAGAGAGAGAGAGAGAGATCCTCCATGCACTGGTTTATTCCCCATTGGCCTTAATTGCCAGAACTGGGCTGGTCCAAAGGTCAGAATCAAGAGCTTCTTCTACTTGAGGGCAAGTGCCCAGAGACTTGAGTCACCCTCCCCTGCTTTCCCAGGCCCCAAATCAGGGAGCTGGATCAGAAGTGGAGTGGCCAGGACTTGAATGGGTTGTCAGCATGGTAGGCTCAGACTTAGCCTACTATGCCATGGTGCCAGCCCTGACAACACAGTGTTTACGAACTTTCTGAATACTCCTGTACGTTCCGTTTAGAGGATGTACAGTGGCAGATGTTGCAGTGCAGCAAGCTAAGCACCCTTCTGAACAGTCTGCATTCTATGTTGCAACGCTGGTTCAACCCCACAGCACTCTCGGAAGGTCATTTGGAGGACACCACTCTCAAACTACAGGACTTGCATGATGACATTGGAGTATTAACATTGAAAACAGGAACTGAAGGGGTTGGCACCATGGCACGATGGGCTAAGTTGCTGCTAGCAACACTGGTGTGTCAGGGTGCTGCCTTACGGTCCAGCTACTCCACTTCTGCTCCAGCTCCCTGCTACAGCACCTGAAGAAGCAGTGGAAGATGGCCTGAGAGCTTGGGCCCCAGGACCCACATGAGAGACCCAGCTCAGGCTCTTGGTTCCTGGCTTTGGACTGGTCCGGTCCTGCCCTTTGAAGTCATCTGGGGAGTGAATCGGAAGACAGAATATTTCTCTGCATTTCTCTCTGTTATCCTGCCTTTCTTAAGTAAATCAACCTTAAGAAAATAAATAAAGAGGAACCGAGAGGAAGCCATGCTGGTTTCCCCAATACTGGAAGACTGAAGCTCCTGAGTGACAGGGCAACCCCCACTGCACACAGCTCTAAGGCCTCGGGCTCGAGGACAATGAGAATAAAGGCCAAAGGTTTTAGTGAGTCAGGCAACTGACACCAAAGCCATCCACCTCACCCCATTTCCCGCTGGTCATTCAGAGTTAGAGCTCATGACGCAGCTGCACTCCTGACAGTTAACCTCACAGCTCCGCATGCTCCCCTCTTCCAGGCCAGGCAGACGCCTCCCCGACATGCTGCAGGAAGCCTCAGGCTTTGTGTGTCACATACAACCAGATTAGCAAACAGAGACTGAGATAGAATTTTTACCACAATAGCATCAATCATCCAGTTGAATTCATTCTCCAGGCATCAGACAAAGGAGGGAAGGTCTAAGTTAATCACGTTAGAGGCTCCCACACGAACACACTGAGACTCCGGAAGGAGCAGGGTGTGTGTTTGGTGGGGGGCAGCTCTGTGTGCTGGGCACAGAGTCTCACACACACACACACAGGTGTCAGAGCAGGAGCGACACCTGCCTCGGATCCAGCCCAGGTGTCAGTGGGCACAGGGGGCACCTTGGCCTCTTGCCCCGACTGGATCAATTGGGAGTTAGTCACACCTCTCAGCCGGGTTACCTGCCCTTCTCTGTGGTCCAAAGAGGAGACAAAATGAAAGAGTCGAGCCACCTGATAGAAAAGGGAGAGGACAACAACAAAAACAGCCATGGGCACCAAACCAACACAATGGGGGTGGGAGTTGTGCTGCCTCACTTCTGCCCCTGACTCCAACACACCCTTACC